ATATTAAAGCTTTCTACTCCGATATGACTTTCAAGCGTAGAAATCATCAATATGTGATTATTTCTAAGTTTTGTGGTAAAGAGGTTACTATTTCTAGTGGTGAATTGAATGAGATGTTTGGCATGGAGAATAGTAACAAGGAGCTCACTACCCAAAATAATGATCAAAACCCGTGGTATAATTTTGATGAACAAAAGTGTTGGGAAGTGATGAATTTTCGACCCAAATTCAATGAATCTGGACGGCCCAAGGTGAATGGAATGCAACCTCCTCAACGCCTCATTCAATATATTTCCTCGTATATCCTGCGTGGGCGCTCGGGCAATCACCCTCAAATGAGCAAAGACGATGCCATGCTTATCTATGCAATCTTGAAGCCGGTGTCTATCAATTGGGGGAAGTACATCTTGACATACATGAACTTGTGCCGGGCAAAGAAAAAATCTCTACCGTACCCCATGCTTCTCACCTATCTTTTGAAAAGGAAGGGATTTGAATTTGTGAATGCCGAGATGGATAGTGAAACTCCTTTTTGGAGGATCAAGAGGTCAACAGTAATGAGAACCAAGCTTGATGGTGAAGATGAAGCACGTGCAGAAACCGGAACTTCTCAGTCACGTGTGGCTTCCCGGGGTCACAAGGTCACATTGCCTATGCTTTTTGAGTCCCTGCAAAGCCTCCAATCCTCCTTCAACAACATCCAGCTCCAACAAGCCACTTACGGTTATAACTTGAATAAGATGTTGGTCAAGAGTGGAGAGCACTGGGAAACACCATCCTTGGAAGCGCTCGCACCTTACATGTCTCAGGGTTCTTCTTCTCATACCGCTCCTTCTGATGCTGATAATGATGAAGACGATGAGGATGATGAAGAGGAGGATGATATTGCACAAGAAGAAGCGACCATGGATGAGGAATGAGTGGTTGGGACTCCGTTTTTGTTATTATTAACTCTTTCATTCCTTTATGCTTTCTCTTATCTCTTATTGCACTTACCCTTAGCTTAACCCTTGTGTTTGTGTTTTTGACTGTGCTATCCTATGTGTTTCTCTTTCCTTTTTGCTTATGACAAAAGGGGGAAATGTGATTGTGTTGCTATTTGCTTGTGCTTGATAGGTGGCACACAAACAGGGGGAAGTAGTTGTATGACTTGTTTTTTGGTTTTGTTATTGTTTTGGCTTGTTATTGTTTTGGTTATTGCCTATGAGACAGGACTTTGCATTTTTGACAAACACAAGCTCAAGCAATTCTTTGGTTGGGTTTGTCATTATCAAAAAGGGGGAATTTGTTGACCCTTGTGTTTTGATAATGAAAACCTTATATGTGGGATAAGCTTTGGATCTTTGAATCAAGTCACCTGGATCATTTCGTAGGGATTATCTTGCAAGTCGGCTTACGAGCTCCAAGACAAGAATTGGCTTACGAGCTCCAAGACTAGAATTGGTGTTAAAAAAACAAAAGGTTTTTAGATCTTTTACATTTTTTTTTTAAGTCTTAGTTCTTGTTAAAGTGTGTGGCACATGTTTATTCTTCAAAATTCTCTATTTCTCTTAAAAGAATTCCTTCTTTATTGTTATTTAAAATGTTTTTTTTTCAAAACTATGTTTTCCTAGGCTTTTGTTCGAATAAATGATGATTTATTCGAATAAGAGGGACCTCTGCAGATTGCAGCTCGGTCTGTTTTAATCGAACAAATGCTTATTTTATTCGAATAAGTGTTGATTCCATTTTTCCAGACTTTTGAAAACTATTCGAATAAATGGTTATTTATTCGAATAAATGGTGTTTTAGTCGAATAAATCGACAGTTTTCATAACTAACGGTCAGTTTTTAAATTCCCGTGGAGGTTTCTTCGGCCCTATCCATATATACTCAATCTAGTTTCATTTTTCAAAATACAAGAACATCCAAGAACATTGACAATTGCTATCCTTTGAGAATTTCAAAGAGTTTTATTGAATCAAATCCTCTTACTCAATTAATTCAAGCATTTTCTTGAGCAATCCTTCATATTGAAGTTTGGAGAGTCATTTGTGCCATACACTATAGATTTTGTTGTAATCTACAGCATATCCGCTCTTGTTCGAAGAGTCAATTCCGCTGTGCACTTTGGTTTGTAAGTTTTTAAATAGTAAAAAAAAAACTTGAATTTAAAATAATTCAAGTTTTGGATTGAAATCCAAAGTCTTGTGAAATCAAGACTTCGGTGGAAAGGTTAGAGGCTTGTGAAATCAAGTTCTCGAGTTGCTATTATATTATAAAAGTAATAATATTTTTATATTTCTTCAATAAAGAATAAGTTTATTTTTAAAATTTGGTTTAAGTTCTATTATGTGTAAGTTATACTTTTATTTGAATTTTAGTTTTTGTATATGAACATAAAAATATTTTCAAAGATTCGTTCATTCTTTTAGTGTGTAAAATATAAACTAAATTTTGATTCGCATCTCTTGAATTTAAATACTCATTTGTTTTTAATTTTTTATGTTTTATTATTTAAATTTACTTTCAATATTCAAAAATAAAGGGACATTGTTACATTTTAAGATGTAAGGTAGGTATGTATTTATTTTTCTCGATTGGTAGCAAAACTGATACTGAACTATTCTGAACCATACCAAACTGATATTTCAGGATTGGAATCAGTATTGTTTAAAATTTCCTATCGAACCAAAATATTTGGTACAATATCGATACGAGTTAAATATCGTCCAACGTGATGGGAGGAAGTGTGTTGTAATTTGGGGTGCACATCTACTCATATTTACAACCATAATGAAAACAAACTTGGTTTAGCCACGAAGTCAAAATTACAGCCGGGTGTGTTTGTTAAACTTTATATTACAGACTATTCCTTGTTCACTACACGATAAAAAATAGATGTTGACATCCTTTATCCTTTATATATAATATTTGAGAGTTGGACTCTCAGAATTGCGACATTTGACGTGATGACTAGAATGTTTTTTTGATACCTAATCAGTCATGTCATCAAGAGAATTGAATCGAACTTTCCTTCGACTAATTTATGATATAATAAAAGAAATTATGTAACTTAATAAAATTAGTGAAACATAAATTAATATTGCATAAAATAAAAATTATTAATGGAAAAAAGAAAAGTTTCTTTTTTAAATTTGTTAATAGTTTTAAAGCAAAAGTATTTTAAAAAATAAAATAGGGCTCAGAATATAAATTTTGGACCGGGCCAAATTTATTTTTTCATTTTCCGGGCCCGGCCCTGCTTGTTGGCAAAGGATCGGATGAACCTGCATCTGGTATTTACAGAGACTCTATGATTAAGATAGCTGTCTCCAGGGGCGGAAGAGAGGGGGCATGCCTGGGCAAGTGCCCCCGGGCGAAATTCCGGCGAAATAGGATTAGGGTAGCTATCGGCGATGGGAGGCCGGATTTGCCCCCCAGATTTGTCCAGCTTCCACTTCCAGTCTTTGCCTCTCTGGTCCAGCAGCCGTGCTCGAAGAAGATGAACAATCGCCGAAGAAGAAAATAAACAAACGGCACCGTACGGCGTCGTTTTATGAAGGTTTTAAAAAATTCTTTTGGGCTTTGACCCAGCCCAACACTGCACGAAGCCCAATTGCCCAAAACAATTACGAAATACTTTAATACCATGGACTTATTTGGCTGCCACGATCCAAATTCCAAACCAATGAACCACAAATGCCTAAAATATGTGCTCGGACTACTTAAGCCAAACCCCAGGTGTTCCTTATTCATGTTTTAATTTTTTGTTTAATTACTTTTTTATTGTTAGTGTTGTGTTTCAATTTTTGAATGCTTTGTATTTGTTAAAAGTAGTACTTTGAATTTAGTTAATACTCTCTTCGTCACTAAAAGATTACCACAGTTTGAATTTTTTTGTCAAATTGTGGTATTATTAAATATAAATTAAAATAATTAAATATTATTAAAATTTGATATTTTATAACTATATTTTAAAATAAATTAAGTTTTACAAAATTTATTAAATATGCCTTTTCCATAATTCACGGTCAAAGACTGACACAGTTTGACCAAAAAACTTAAACTGTGGTAATCTTATAGAGATAGATGGAGTATTAGAGTTAAATTACAATAAATTGTTACGGAGTATTTGTTTCAAAAATGATTTATTTATACTATTGCAAATTAAAAATTCTTTAGATGGAAAATTTTTTAATTAAACAACTAAATAATTTATCTTTGGTAAATGATAAAGACAAGGGAAAAATTTTTTGGAGAAAGAAAGTGCGGTTTTAGATGATAATCTTGCTAATCTGGGATTACGAAAAGTAATTAATACTTATGCATTTGAAATTAGAGATACCATAAGAAAAAGATATTTAGCAAAATATAATGCTCTTGGCATCTCGAAAAAATTTTCTATGGCCTCAAAACAATTCTTCCTCATTACACAAATAAAAGGTTCTTATATAGTTGTATGTAAATTTACTCTTTTCCTATTAAATTTGGTACTATTATTAGAATATTTTGCTACTCCATATTTTTAAAATGAATTTTTGCTTCCTGATGACCGTAATTGTGCCCCCGCGAGGATTCGATCCTGCCTCCGCCACTGGCTGTCTCCAGTAGTTCTTAGAAATAAGCTCAAAACTTACTGGTTAAAATACATAGGCAATGTTTGGAAAATAGCTTTTTGGATAATTTTTGGTATCTTTGACTAACTTTGATTTTTTTGACTAATTGAACAACCAAAACAATTGTTTGGCTAATGGTTTCTTGGCATTTTGATTCGAAAAGCCAAAATCTAAAAAGTTAAGGGAGGTAGCTTTTGGACTTGGCTGTTAGAAAAATTAATTTTTTAAATCATTTTTCTTGAAAAGATATTCTATATATATGTAAAAAAAATAAAAAATAAAAAATAAAAAAAATAAAAACTAAGAAAAATAAAATTTAAAACTTAAAAATTTCAAAAAAAAAGAGATGAGAAAATCAAAAGTAAAAATCATTAAAAAGTTGTATATTAATAATTTCTTGTGAATTAATTGAAAGTAAAATTTAATAATCCATAGAGTAAAGATTTAATTTTTACATGAAAAAATGAAAAATAAATATCGTGTGTATGTATATAAATATACACCGACATAAACAGTCATTCATAACAGCTAATACAAACTGCGAACAACTAACAGCCAACAACCAAAGGACATCCAAACACGGTCATATTGGGATATTCTAGGGGTACAACAAAGGTGTACCCCAAATGTACACCACCCCTCTCTTTACCATTCATTTTATTGTTTTTAATTTTAATTTTTTTTTGAATTTTTCTTGCTTTTTTGTGTGGTGATGGAGAGAATGAGGATGTTTGGGGTACACTTTTGGTGTACCCTAGTATTTTCCCGATGATATTAGTATGAGGAGTAGTAGAAGTTTAAAAAAAAGTAATGATAAGAACTTTGGGCTGTATTAGATGGCACATATTGTCGTTATGTGTGTACGTGTCGTCCTAGCCATGAAGGGTGGGTCCCCTCCAGCAAACTGCCATCATGGATTTCAAAAAAAAGAAAAAAAGAAAAAAAGAAAAAATGGGATTTTTTTGCGACTTTGTGGCTATCCTTGGCAAATGGCAGAGGAGAGTAGCTTCTCCGACATGCATGCTTGAACTTTGGGTAGACGTGAAAAATTGACAGTTCTTTGAGACTTGAAAAGTGGTGTGCTTGAAATTGTGGTACCAATGTTTACACTTTCCACATAAAAAAAAAAGAAAATGCCCAGTGCCACCACATGGGTGCTATCATGGGTGCACCCATGCTTCGCACAGACAAACACAGACGATAATTGTCTGTGTCTCCATGGTAGCACTGATGTAGTGGCACCCTAGCATGGTCCTAAAAAAAAGTAGTTTTTACCCAAAAATCTTACCCATTCTTTTCCATGTCATACCTACCTTACGTGTCTCATAAAAATTATCAACGCATACTTTTCAGTTTTCACTTTTTAAATGATTTATTCTTAATTTAATGATTATTACAATGGTATGTAAATTTATATTTCGCGAATTTTGTACTCCCTCCGTCCCCCTGTATTTGTCCACTTTCATTTTTACTCATCATCCAATACACTTCTTTAATCCATTTTATCTTGTAATTTGTATATTAAAAAATTATAGAAATTATATATTAATAATCTATATGTTAAGACAAATCAAACAAGATCACACATGAGAATTTGATGAGTCAAAGTGCTTAGATGAACATTTTCAAAAATCAAATGTGGACAAATACAGGGGGACGGAGAGGATATTATATTTTCGCAAACGACCAGGGAGGACAATAGGTCGAGCGGACTTCCACCCTTATTCAATTCATCCATCATCCATTATAATATTATATACATCACTCATCATTCAATCGTTTCATCCCCGTAGGTAAATAGGGTGAAACATGTGAAATAGATGATATTAGTAGTTTTTTAACCCGTAGGTGAAACGAAGCTTATGAACTAAGGTGCATAATGTAGAAAAATCTTAGTAAATAAGAGCGACTAATGATGTTTATGATAAAATCTCGTTTTAAAACAATCTTCTAAGTTACAAACTAGATTTTTTATAAAGAAATATTTACAGTAAATAGCACTAAAACTTAAGTCATTGCTCTAAATAGCACTTTACTATTTTATTCCTTAAATAGCACTTAATATTATCCATAATGTCCAGTGATGGTGAATATTTACTTAAATAATGACTAATGTATAATGACTAAAGGTGCGACATTGGAAAAAAAACACATGTGATGCTATTTAGGGAAAGTCATTATGTTATTTGGACACTAGAACAAACTAATTCACTCAACAAAGCTAATTATTCTAATGGGTCGAGTAACGGGTCAGGTGACCTGTGAGAAAAGCATTTGGTTGATTATTTTCGCATGAAGGACTTGGGAACTCTGAAATTTTTTCTTGGTATTGAAGTGGCTTGAAGTGAATATAGAATCTTTCTTTGTCAATGAAAGTATGCTCTAGATATTATTACTGAGGCAAGTCCGCTGGGTGCCTGACCGTTGGGAGCATTGATGGACCCAACTATCACTTGGCTCATGCCTAAGCTCCGGTTCTTGTTGACGCAGAACCTTATCATCGCCTAGTAGGGTGTCTGGCTTATTTATCTATCACTCGCCCAGAGTTGTGTTATGTTGTGCATACTTTAGCACAGTTCTTGAAAGAACCACGAGAGGATCAATGGATTACTACCGTTACTGTTGTTTGATATTTGAAAGGGTGTCTAGGACGTGGTAACTCCTTTCAGCAGATTGTGATTTACAGCATACATGATGATGTGACTTTGATTGGGCCGCCTGCCCTCTTACGAGGCACTCTTTACTGGAATGTTTGTTCCACTCAGGAATTCACCTATTTCTTAGAAAACAAAGAAACAAACGACAGTTGCATGATCTTCAGCTAAAGCTGAGTATGGGGCTTTAGCTGCTGTTACCTATGAGCTGAAGTGGTTAAAGCATCTTTTGCACTCCCTGCGGATTTTGCCCACCAATCCTATAACTATTCATTGTGATAGCACAATTGCACTCCACATTGCAGCTAATCCAGTTTTTCATGAGCGTACAAAACATATTGAAATCGACTGTCATTTGTTCTTAATGAGCTCTTTCACGGTGTGATTCGCACACCTCATGTTCCTACTACGCACCAGCTTGCAGATATACATGCAAAAGCATGGGGTAAATCACATTTTGAGTTTCTTATTCTCAAGTTATGCATTTCAATTTTGCACGCTCTAACTTGAGGGGGGAGGTATTAAAAGAAAGTATATTCCCGTATATATTATTATAATGTATATGGTAGTTTTCAAGTATATGTTGATTTGATTTTCTTTCCTTTTGTAATTGTTTACATATAGAGTTCCTAGTCTATGGAATCCTATATATAGATAGCCTTTAATCATGTTGTATGATTAGAAATATAAGAGAAGGTCTTTCTCCCAAAATATTATTCTTTCAGTATACAATTACCATTCATAAAAGATATATCAAGATATAAATTGAGGTATGCCAATTTTAAATTGATTTTGAGTTATATATATTTTCCATTCATAAAAAAACTATCAAGACTTAGTTTGAGGTGTGCCAGTTTTTAATTGATTTTGAGCTTTGAAAAGTGGCTCATCACACATACATAAAAAATAACACCGGATATGTTTTTGTGGTTCGAAAGAATTTTCCTAATTTGTAGGGCACACATTGGGGCAATAGTCCTCCAATAAGTTACTAGATACAAGTAATTACATTGATCATACACAACATGTTGAGTTTGTAACTGTAACACCCTAAACCGACAAGGTCTGCAGCCCCTTTCGGACTAAAGTATTAACTTGGTAATCTTAAAAATTTAAAACATTTCAAACACTTTTATTTATCATAATAATATTTTTCATAATATAAACAGTATGAAGTTTTCAATATTGCGGAAGCTTTACCAAATCATAATTACAACATAATTTATTATGTTCTTTAATTCAAAACCATCACATCCATTCCGACAATCTCGCCTCCGTCTGCCTCCAGGATCACGTCACTTCATCCTTTCTATTAACCTGTGTGTAGCAAATAAAACATACTACACGCTCAGCGTTGAAGCTGAGTAAGCATATCTAATGCGTCGAACATCCATATAAACTGAATCTAAATTCATAATCAAATCATTTGATATCATGCACATAATGTTCAGTTCAGATATTTAATAATCATTAGTCAGTATTCATCCTTCATTATTCAACATTTATATTCATATTCGACGTTCATCGGTTATTCATAATATTCACAATATTCAATTCGATAATCATCATTCAATATTCATTCATATTCAATGGTCATCTGTCATTCATAATAATCATAATATTCAATTCAATAATCATCATTTAATATTCATTCATATTCAACATTCGACAATATCCTTAAACTATTCTTAGTCTAAAGCCAATCATTTTAATGTTTATCAACCCTTAAATTAATTCTAGTTTAAATAATTAAACTATATTCCAGTACAAAGTACTCCTAAATAATCCTTAAGCTACGCCTAGTTTAAGAAAAAAGGGTTTTGAAAATCTTAAACTTACCTTCACTTAAGGCCAACCAGAAACCGACAGCGTGGTGTTCACTGTTGGGTGGGTGGTACCCCCAAACGAGTAGGTACTCAAGTTTGGTTCTTGGATCCCGTACGTACGTTTTAACCCTAGCCACTGGGGTTCATACCCGCAAGGCCTAACTTAAATAGGTATATCTTAGAGGTCTTCTAGATACCTTTCAAATCAACATTAATATGAGTATATCTTAGAGGTATTCTAGATACCCTTAACAATATATTATTTTCACAATCATCAATATACTCATTGTGATTTAATCATTCACAATTATCATTTTTAATCAGAATATTTATTAAGATTTAATCATCATAATCATCAATCAATAATCATTACCATAATCATCAATCAACATAATATTCAATAACAATTAGCGGTCTAACTTCGGGTGTTAACACCCTAACTTACCTTCATGCATCACTTAACATTTTATTTTTTAAAAATATTACTTTTAATGTGAAAAATCATTTTTATAATGATCATAATCAATTGGTATCAAAAATAGGATTTTAGAGCTCAAAAATAACATTTTCAGAAAAATTTTTGGATCAGAAATTCGGGGGATCGATCCAGCCCTCTGGATCGATCCATACTATGAAAAATCACTCCCAGGGGATCGATCCAAGCCCCTGGATCGATCCAGACAGTGGTGTTTCAGCCACTGTTCATTTTCTTCTTCGTTCGGGTCCAATTTCGGAATTATCGTTTTTAGTTATCGAACTTCAACAAAACTATATAGAGATGTTCTCCAAGGTTCATAGATCATTTTGGCATCATTAATTCATAGTTTTAACATCAATTTCATGATTTATGATTCTTGGTTCTTCAAGCACGTCAAACACAAAACTCAACCAAACGACCGTTTATGAACGTAGAAACGATCTATACGAACATTCTAGTCACTAGATATATCTACGGGCTTACCTCGAAGGTAAATGAAGGTTTTGGAAATTTTCTGGCGAAACTTCCGGCAAGGATTGTGGCTATCTTCGGCGACCTCACACCAATATGACAGCACCACTGCGTTCTCCTCACTCCTAGCAACAGAATAGACAAAAAGTTTGTAAGAAATGGTGAGGAATTGAAGGAATAGAGATGACCCTTATATAGCCAAGTGAAGGTGGAAGAAGACACGGTGATGAGCTCTACTTTGACTGTTTCGGCGGCTGGGTGGAGCGGGCTGTGATTTCTTCGCATTTCAAACGCAAGTCTCTGATTGGGACTAATTTGGTCCCAGTCGGGGAACACTTTTTGGTCCAATTTTCTCCGGATTGAAATCCATTTGCACCATTGTGATCGTACAATTAAACTCTATCGAACGATATAATTTTCATATTTATTTGTAATACTTTTTCTAACATCATATTTTTGGGTGGTTGACTTTGACAGAGTCAAAATTGATTTATTTGACCTTTACTCAAAAAGGTTCTTACATTCCATTCATATTAGTTATTCTCATGATTTATTTTAATAAATCATTTCAAAGTTCATATCATAAACAAATTTCTTCATTTATCCTTGATTTGGGTCCGTACTCAGGTTCCCAATTTAGGTCACACAATAAGTCAACATATGAGACTTATTTTGATATTGGGTATTAAAACATATTTCATGTCGGCCCAAAGCCCAAAAACAATTTATTTTAATCAAACAAATTTGTTTAATTGAATAATGATTCATTAGTAATTTTAGGGTATATTTTGGGGCATTACATTTCTTCCCCCCTTAAAAGAAATTTCGTCCTCGAAATTCTTTTAAGGCCAAATATTCAACATTTCGTAGTGATCTTACTTAATCATGACCGTGTCATGTTTATTTGGTTTTACGTCATTATCCACATGGATATGTAATCTCAACTTTCGGTGTTATTAAACTCGTTCATTCTTTAAGAGGCTAACAATTTTAGATTAAGCAAGGTATCCAATGATCCTCTTTGCAGGTTCCTGTTCAGATTTAACATTCATAACCAAGATTTCTTTCTAGGGTATAAGATCGTATTTTGGAACATACTTGACATATTTTGCACATCACTTTGTTCATTCGTAAATCTCGATTGTACGTCGTTAGTCAACAACATTCTTTCTTTAGTTGAAAGTTGTTCAATAGCCTTTGCAATTTCGAATCATCACCTTCACGATAGGTATAGTTGGGGATTTAGTGTTTGTTTCAATTCATACGTCATAGTGTAATCTTCTAAGTCATTCAAAACATCTTCACATCGTTCACATAGATCAGCAATGACTCGTAAATAACGTCAAATAACTTTTATCGGTTCATGATTTTTAGAATATGGGATTAGTCATCATTTATGAGGAAATACTCTTGATTGATTGTACAGTAGCTTGTCATCATCGACCTTACATCGAAACATTTCTTCATTCACTTCATGGTAGCTCTCATTATCGTTAATGAGTCTTTGTATTAATTCGTATTTCTAGGTGATGACGTTTGAGTGGCATCTCATGTACGTCTTTTTGTATTCAAATTTCTTTCATATATCAAAATATGATAGTGACAGGTTCGATTGTAACACTACGGTTGATCTCATTTTCAAGGAAGAAGAGAATATTTTCAGTACGTGATTCAATTCACGAATTCATAGAGTGAGGAATCTTCTCTAGTTCTTACACCAACATCGCATATAGGTTCGGGATTTTTGCTTGAATGATTCAGCTTGTTCTTGTGACATCATTTCTTCTCTGGTTGTTGCACACACATTTCCTTGTTAGGGTAAAAAAAAGAGTTTCTTGATCATCATTGATAATAATCTTCATAGATAACGCAATCGCATTAACTGTTTCGTAGCAGTTCCCTAAAGAGGTTTAACATAATGTTCAAGTTAGGGTAATTTTATTATTGTGATCGAGTCACGTAGTTCACAGAGTATAGTTTTCAAAGATCGGTATCATGAAGCATCTTTGGTTTAATGAAGAGCTATGCTTTTAGTATTTTGACACAAAGAATGGAATTCAATCTTTTCAAGATTGATCAAGCGAGGTATTTCAAGGGTGTAGTTAACACAGCAAGTTTGAGTCATTTAAGGATGTGAGTCACACGATATAAAGATGGTATTTATGAATTATCGTCATCAATTGTAGGTCTTCAATCTTCAATGCTTCACTTTGTGGCAGTTACTCAAGGGTCATTTTCTTAGGGAAATAGTCATTTTGACTTTTTGTCTGGGATTTGAATGTATGAGCCTAACTATTCATGAGTCTCAATATGTCATGTCGTCAGCAGATTGTAGTATTGGCGAGTACATTCTTGTCTGGAGCGAATCCACTTTCCTGTACGTTTTTTTAGGCTGGTGATAATTACTTCTCCATCAATGGTCAGGTTTTAGAGACTATATATATCACGATTATGGGAAGAGTATCTCACATTCTCACATTATGGAAGGAACTTCTCGAGCTCTTTCTTATACCATAAGATTCGTTGGTCTACTTGGCAGTCATTCTCTTGGTAGAAATCCAAAATTTATGGCTACTGCGGTAGATTTAGGAAGAGAATTGACAAGGCGAAGAATTAGGATAATCCAGTGATCCGATCTAAAAAATCGGATATCCGAAATTCGGATATCTGAATATTTTCGGATCGGATATGGAATGAGTTTTACATGATCCGAAATTTTCGGATATCCAAATTTTCGGATCGAATCGGATCGATCTGATTGAACACACCCCTAGTCTCTAGTATAGGCGGTGACCACAGACAAATTTGAATTTGGCATAAATTTCAGTGTCATTTCGCTAATAGCTCGGTCCAACCCCAAAATGCTCGCGTGAACCGAGGCTTGGGTGCGAAAATTCAACCCCAGTCAGAATCTAACCCTAAATCTGACTCCAGTTAAGTTTTATTTAAAGAGAGAGAAATGGTTGCAAGGCCACCCGGGTTCTGCACTTCCTTTCTCTTCTCTTTTCTGCTCTTAACTTTTCTTTTTCTAGACGAGTGGTTTGCAACCATAAGTTGTTAACAATTGATTGGGTGATGATGTTGACAATGAAAGTTTATATAGTAGAAAGATAGTAATTTTTATAAACAAAAAAAGGTCTTTGGTGGTTTTTTTTTGTTCTTGGTAGTTTGCTATCATCATTCAATTCTTGTTCTATTCTGTGTTCTTGATATCTTGTTTGGCTTTTCTTGTTTTTGATGGGTTCTGAAGTGGGCGAGCAAGAATCATTAGTTTCTTTGTTTAACAGACACAAAGATGGAGTCTTTATACTCTTGAAAGACAAAAGTAGCTTCGATCAGTCCCCACCTCGTGTCCAAAACGCCGAAAGTTTTTCGGATGACTTCTCATGAACTTGTTTAGTCTTGTTTTTCAATTCTCTGCAAAATTATTGCTCTCGATAAAGGATCCAAAGAAATTGTTGTACTTGGTTGACTGATTTACACCAGCCATGAAGAGGTCACTTGATAGCTCTGATTCATTGGGTGTTTTGATGTCCATCTGTCCAACCACTCCAGGTGTTTGTCAAAATTCCCCACAGACATTTTTGCTTCAATTTTAATGCTGGGTTGTACTCTGGCAAGATCCCATCATGCCCAATGTTTTTTCTTTCTTTCTAATGGCTTTGATTTGATTTTACAGGTGACCCAAATCAAGGGAGCGGCCATGTTTACTCGAGAGAGTTCCAGACGATGCTGGAGGGTCTTGATGAAGAAGGGTGCATAGACGAATCAGGGCATCTGATGACGGAGAAGAAGAGGCGTCTGAGTGTGGAACAGGTCAAGGCTCTCGAGAAGAACTTTGAGGTGGAGAACAAGCTCGAACCCGAACGGAAAGTGAAGCTGGCTCAAGAGCTGGGCTTGCAGCCTAGGCAGGTGGCGGTTTGGTTCCAGAACCGCCGCGCCCGGTGGAAGACAAAGCAGCTCGAGAGAGACTATGGTGTTCTCAAAGCCAACTATGATTCTCTTAAGCAAAAGTATGAAACTCTCCACCATGACAATGAAGCCCTCCTCAAAGAAGTAAGATTCAAATCATTTCCTTCCATGTTTTCAGGAGATTCTTTGAATCTATAAATTATGGTTTTTTTTACGAATTTCCCAAGTTCTCTAGTGATTAATTGAAAGAGTTATGTACACATAGATCCGAGAACTGAAAGCGAAGCTGGTTGGAGAAAGTGGAGGAAACGTGGTTATGGTGAAGGAAGAGACGGTGGAATCAGAGAGCGAAGAACTAGAAAGGAAGAACACAGAACCAACGGACCAAGAAACCCAGTTCAATAACCTTCAAGACTGCTGCAATGGAGGGCTAATTTCATTTGCCGATCTCAAAGACGGGTCATCAGACAGCGATTCGAGCGCGATCCTTAACGAGGACAACAGCCCAAACGCGGCTGCTGCCATTTCTTGCTCCGGGGCCTTCTTGATGATGCCTAATGGTTGCGGGTCTCCTTCCTCTCTGTCTGCGAATCGCTTCAACCAGAACCCGGTGGTCAGGGATGAGGTGTGCAGGAAGGCGTATCAGCCGCCCCCGGCTCAGCTGGTGAAGATAGAGGAGTATAACTTCTTTGGAGGCGGCGGCGGCGAGGAAGCGTGCAGTAGTTTGTTCTCAGACGAGCAAGCCCCAATACTCCATTGGTACTCCCCGGAGGACTGGAATTGAACTGAAACAAGTGTTCATCATGAATCGAAGAACAAATAAATAGAAAAAAAAAGTTTTTTTTTTTGAATTTGTAAAAAGCTGAAATGAATATATGATCTTCATCATCATCATCATCTATCACTACATTACAGCAATCATGTGAATCGTTGCGGATCACCACGCCCTTGTTTAGGCCCAGAGGGCCTAGGGCCTCCCAAATTTTATGATGACAATTGGATTTCAATATCCAATTGACATTGATTCTAATTGGAGAACTTAAGGTGCTCCATTTGTAGAATTGTTGGTTCTTATTCCCTTCAATCTTGGGTAAATCTTTCCCTCTGTTTCAATCCGAATTCACCTCACCCCAATTGTATCTCTAAATTTGGTTGATTCCAAAATCAAATACATTTGGAAGGCGAAATTTGGATGATTCCAAAAGCAATGACATTTGGAAGCCCCGTTTAAGGCCACCCGCATTGGATGGAGTACTTGAAGGAGAAGGAGAAGTCCTCCAGGAGGAGAGGGAGGAGGAGAAGTCCTTCTCAAGAGAGGAGGAGTTATAGTCCGTGGAGAAGAAGAAGAAATGGGATGGGAGAGCCAATCCCTTCTTGACATGTGGCATTTCCTTCCATTCTTTTTATATATATGAGAAAGCTAAGTATTTTTTTATAGGAATAAGTATAATTAAATTTGAGAAATTTTTTAAATATGACCGGTCACTTTCATCAATCACCAAATAAGGTTAACTTTTCGATTGAGACGGGTCAAAAGTTGACCAGTCACTTTCCTTAAAAAAGTGACCGGTCACATTTTGGGCGATAGCCAAAATGTCGTTTAATGTTACAAAGGACATTCTAGAAGACCAGAGACGGGTTGAAAGCGAGAAATGACCGGGTAACCTTTGAGAGAGGTGACCGGTCATGTCACTTTACTTTGCAAACATTGGTCCAGTATCTCAGGCGTGGTGAACCACGTCAAAGATCGAGAAACCACCCCGCCGTTTGCCCATCACGAAGCAAACAGTAAAAGGAATGTTTGTCATTTTGCAGGGCTGATTGGATTGAGAATATACATTTATAGTCTTTGATTGAACAGTACATGTCTTGGCTTGTAATTGCTAAATTCATTGATTGAATAGTAGATTGATTATGTACAGTGACCTTCCCACGGGCTTCCTATTTTGTCCATGGATGAACAGGGGAAGGTCACAAATCCTCCTCTATAAATATGATGATATTGGGTAGAGGAGGGGATCTAATTTTGATCTCACTAAAAAAGTTCACTCTTGAGATAGAGTAAGAAATATAATTCGGACTGAGGAGATTTACCCAGTCTAGGTCATACTTTGTGTTCTTGTTGTGTGTTTTATATTACGGGTCGAGTGTGTCCAGGTCAAACCCGATTAACCCACTCGACTATATTTACACCATCATTTTTGGCGCCCACCGTGGGGCCGATTTTTAAAGTTTTTTCGACCAGGTCAAAACTTTAACCCCACTAAATATCCACAATCATGTCTTCAAGCAACCACAACATTGTGTCAAGCCAGGCTGCGAGTGAAAGCACTCCTGCCATCCCATTGATGATGCCAGGCATGGGGACGACCTTTGCCCCGATCACCACGGTATGATTAGTTGGCATGATCCCAATCATGTCAACCCCTACTCCTACTCCAACGACAACAATGTTCCCAGGCTCGATAACAACGCCTGGGGGAGCATTCGCACCATACCCGTCAGCTTGGGCATAATTTGTTGCTGACTCGGTAAATGCTCAGGCTCTACAGGGCTATCAACAGGTGATGGCCATGATGCAACAGGCAGGGGGCTTCATGCCATTTGCCTATCCTGGCATGACGCCACCAATTATGCCACCCCCGGTGTCGACTCCATCAACATTCGTTTCAAGGATGGTCCCCGTGCGCCCGGTAAATTTGACAGGGATCATGAACGAGGCAGCGCCCTCAAATGTTCACGAGGTGGACGAGGCGGAGCAAGAGGTGGCCCGTAGAAGGAAGGGTAAGGCTATAGCCAAGCCCAACAAAACTCGAGATTCGGCATTCAAACGCCTATGGGACAAAGAGAATGGACCTCGCAAGTCTGCCAAGCTACGTCTTGGTCCTGAGATGGGCCAGACTAGCGCAATGGAAAGACTTGGTGGGAGTCGTCCCGCCCCATCTCGCCGTTCTAGGGAATCTGAGACGATTCACCTATATGAGGAGGAAGCTGAAAGCCAGCCCAGGGCATCGGCATATACCAGGCTCTCATATGATGAGGATGACCTGGACAAGATAGGGAGCGTAGCAAGAAAGCTACGTGCCCTGGAGGAAAAGGTGGAAGAGAAGGCGGAAGCAAAGAAGCATACCCTGGCCAAATCACCCTTTTCAGCCAGGGTACATGCACAAAAATTGAGACGTAAGGTCAAGCTGGATGTGGAGAAATTCACCGGGAAGGAGGACCCAAATGTCCACCTTGACACTTTCCACAATGCAGCACCGATGGTCGGGTGCACTGATGCTGAGGATTGCTTGCTCTTCTTCTCATCCTTGAGAGGGAGACCAGTGGAATGGTTTAACGGCCTTCCCCATGGCAGGATTGGGTCCTTTGAGAAACTTGCCGAAGTTTCCCGCAAGAAGTACCAGGATAACTGCATCAAGAGGAAGAAGTTCACCTACCTTAACACGGTAGGGCAGAGGGAGAAGGAGTCCTTGACTCAGTTCTTAACTCGATGGAGGGATGATGTTGACAAAGTAGAGGAGATGGACGATAAGACGGCCATGTCTTCGCTGATGAACGCCTTCCGGTCGGGTGACCTCTACACTGAATTTTGTAGGAGGCCACCCTCCTCTTATTAGGAAGCCTACAATACGGCATGGGTGTATCCCGAGGCGGAGGTCCTGAACAAGAGCAAGCAGGAACTAGAGGAAGGCTATACACGGGTGAAAACCGATAGGCCGAAGAAGGATGACCAGAGGGGAGGGTCCAAGCCGAGGGCCACATATGATGGGTCTGTGTTGAAACACGGGTTTATCGTGTTTTCGTACTAAAGCCGTGTTCGTTTTTATGACAGGTTTTGATAATGCCAAACCGCCGTAAACGAGACAAGTTATTGAATATACAAGGCGAGAAATAAATATAAGAAGAAAGCAAGAGAACAAGACCCAAAAGAAGACCAAGAACGAAGACCGTAGTCTTAGTGTTGTTGAGTCGGTCATAATTGTGATCAAGACCGACCCAACCTTTACACCTTGGCTCTTTAGGCTAAAATTCTTTTCATTGCATTTCACACATCATAAAAATGTTTTTCAAACATGTTTAAAACATTAAAAACACTTGGTGTT